CTCCGCCAGCCCTCGCTCGGCCACCCTTCAGCTCATCTCAACCCGTATCCATCCTCCAGGCTCGTTTGTTGTCCTCAGTCACCACCACGAGTCCATCTCAATATTTGCTCCTTTCTAGGCTGATTTCTTCCGTTGCACTTCGGCCCTGGAGATTATTTTCCTCCAAGTAGACAAATGGGGCTCTTTCCTATTTATTTTTTATCGTTTCCTGGCCACGCTTCTGATCTCGCGAGGTCACTTCTGCATGTTTTCCCTGTCCTCGGGCGGTGCATAGCTTTTCTCTGTTTCCATATCAGCTGTGAATTTTAACAGAGGAGCTGCCCCTTTCGAGATCGTTGATGAAGTTATCAAAAAGGAGATGGGCCCTATCAAAGGCATTTGCTGTACCCCAGAGAGAAGCGATTTATCAGCGTATTAAAGCAGCTGAGTCTCGGAGAAGGTCCTCCCCGAGCGTCTGGCAGAGAAGGCGTTTGGGCTCAGGTGTAAACCAGCCCTTTGAAGGGGCGACGAAAAGCCAGGCCGTCGTTTCTGGCACGGCCAGATGTTGTCGGTGGCTGCAGAAAAGCCCCAACAGCACGTTCAGAGAGGAAATAATGCTGCCACTTTTTCTAATGCCGTTTGATAAATCTGCAGCGCTTCCTTACCTGCAGTAGTTTATGAACCCTATCTCGGGGAAGATAAAGCAGAAATAGAGGTGGGTTTGAGGAGCTGGCAGCGCGAGTGATTCCAGGCAGGAAAGGACTTCTGCAGGAGGAGAGATGGAAGAGACGGGAGCGGTTTCGTTCAGCGAGCAGACGAGTAAGGGGCGATGCAAAATAACGACGGATCCGGGGAAGGTAGGCTGCGTGCCTACCCTTCCTCGGAGTTCAGCAGCGTTCGGGCGCCGTTTGAAAGACAGCGCACGTAAAACTGCTAAAAGGGAACGCTTTCCTGCAAGGCGCCTAGTCAACGCGCGGGACTCGTTGCCCTGCGGTACCGTGAAGGCCGACGGCTTAGTCAGGTTCGCGAGAGGATTAGCTGTGTAAGGGATAACGAGCCCGTTCACGGATAGGATTTGCCACGCGTACGGAGGGAGGTAAGCGCTCTCGTGCTGCCGAGCGCGAGTCAGCCCCCGGCTGCCTGAACTGGGGGGGGGGGACGCAGCAGTGTTTTAGGTGGGTTTTTTTCCTCCTCCTGTTCCACCCCCCCAACCCCGTAGCGTCTCCGTTCCCATCAGCCACGCAACGCCTCTGCCAGCCTTCCCCCCGCGGGGTCCGGGTGCCCGGAGGAGGTGGTTCGTCCTCCGCCTCTGCCCCCCGCTCTCGCGCCTTTCCCGCGGCGGCTCCTGCTGAGGGCGCCTCGCCCCCGC